AACCTAAGTGTCGAAATTTCGCCTAAGCCACTAGGGCTTAACAGCCCGGCAATTATTATTGCCAAAAATTCATAGAATAAGTTCAACAATTTATAAAATCGCCCGCGCGGCGGCAATGCTTCTAGGAAGAGAATAGATGAAAACTTTGTCTTGACTAATGGAAGCCGATCTTCGTTTGATAATTTAACGGTCATTGTATCGAAAACTCAAGGTCATTGGGGCCGAGGTCGCCAGAGAGTCTTTTTTCCGGGCAAATTCTGAGGTTGTTTTTTTTTCAACTGCTTCTCCGACTACAATTTGTGATGGCTGTACTTCCTTGTTAAAATTTAAATAGTGCGAAAAAAGTAAAATGGAATATTCAATCCCGGAATCTACAAATATACTAGGATATATTAAGTTAATGGCCTCTTTTGTCTGCTAAATTGGCCGTTTTAAGGCCATCAGGTAACCCTGATCGTGGCATGTATAAAATTGTTTGTGTAAACCTGAGTATGACATGATCACCGTTGCATGGCTTACAATTGCGATAGAATAGTGGACATAAGCATAGGAGAAGGCGTTCCAACCTCTTTTCTCATATTCATTCACCGAAGATATTTCCCCCGTAATCCGGACTTACTACAAAACGCTCATCCGATAATGGCGAAACATAATAATTAAAATATTACCACTCACTTACTTGGTTAAGATGAGGCGCGTCACCGACTAAGTTTTCGTACCACTCACGTACAACTTGATGATACCATATCCAAGCCATGTATGATTACTGAACATCACGATCATACACTCGCGTCGTGGGCATTTGCATCCCAAACTGAGCTATTCTCACTCCCCGCTTCGGTTCGGTCACTCCCCGCTTATACAAAACCATCACCTCGTACGTTGGTACGCACCGAGTAGTGAGTGGGTTAATTTGAAACTATCAATGAACACAGAGTCGAGGAAATAGTAATCGAATTATATATAATGAGCTATACAGTGTGAACTTGCTTACAAGTGGGCGGATGATAATTAATTTTTTCACATGTGAGCAAATCTGGTATGTGATTATGAGTATAACGGTGTGTAATGAGCTGAATGTGCCTTAAGGCCCGTTCACACTAGGGGCAACACACGAGAATCAAGTGCCTCAAAGCGCATGCAGAGGCGCTTTGCAGCCTCTGCATGCGCTTCTTGACCGATTGACGAGCTAGCGATTGACAGGGGCCATGCCTCATGCAACACAAGCGCGGCACTTAGTAGATAGCTATTAAAGAATTGATATCACTTGTATGCTTAAATCGCAAATTATCTAAGAATTTAAATTAAATTAAAAATTTAAATCAAATTAAAAATCTAAATTAGTTAATTAAAGAAATTCAGTTCGTTCTATGGTTTCAATGTATTAATTTGTGACTTCTGATTTGTGATTCTAGATTCTACGAACTGACGATGGAGCTGGGTCGCCGAAACGTTTTCTATAAAGATATGAATTTTTGTGGACTATTCTTTGCTTTTAAATTCTTAGTTAGTAGATAGCTATCTGTGGTCTAGTAAGGTTGATTGTGTACGCTGGTCCGGCACACCAAATGTCGACTAACAGCACTCTCGTTTGGAGTCACTCTCTAGTAGAGCGCCTAATTGATCTTTATAGAGAACACTAATGCCTATGGAGTATTCGGTCATAGGAGTTCAAAAATCGAAATGCAAATGATGTAAGTTATTTTTACATGACGTGTTTAGTTTATGTGATTTTAGCAACACCTGAAAATTTATGCATTACCGTTTAGCGATTTCAAAGGATGATATAATATCGGTACGAATATTGGAACTTTTTGTTTAAGAATAGACTATATTTTTTATAAACTGTATCTTTTCGAATTTGCTAAGTCTCTAATTATGATGCCTATGCTAAATTCTCGTTTACAACTGGCATAGTGCGAAGAATGACGGACCGCAGCACACCCGAGAACAATGGCCCACAGCTCAAATTCGGTTACATCCATCCTCATTGACGTCTAGGTGGCAACTAGTGTTCAAACTTTCAAAGCGCGCGGTTTCAAACTACCGAGTACAAAAGTAGTGTGAACGGTTGTGCGCGGTGAAGCACTGCAGCAAACGACTCAAAGCGCATGTCGTTGCCACTAGTGTAAACGGGCCTTTATAGAAAGGTAACACTTGAGAATTTGCCAATTGTCAATTGCTGATAGGCTCTTAGCATCAAGTCAATAATGATAAGGCAGTCAGCAACAGACGACTTTTCTGCTTTTCTGCAATAATAAAGTAATTTTACTGTATATTCATTAATTGATTCACAGCGTCTGCGCTTTAGCTATTATCAAGTTTTCTTTGCAAAAGGGATGAAAGTATAGGGGGGACTCACCTAAGACGATATAGCTGTAATTAGAATATGTGTTGATTTTTTATGGTAACTACTTAAATTACCACTGATTAAATTAATGATGTTTTCAATTTTTAATCTCATTTAGTACCATATAAACGATAAACGATTTTTGTTTTTAAAACGATAACATCAGTGTTCTTTTAGTGGGTTTTGTAAAACTGGGCAGAGTGGCCCAGTGGTTACAGTTCAGAGGACCAAGATTGGAGCACAGAGGTGCGGGTTCGATCCCAGCTCTGTGCGCCAGTTTCTGGTCAGAATCGGCAAGGAGGCCGGGCGGTTAAGCACAGCAGAATTGAAGCAGTGAGTTGCGAGTTCGAGACCGCAAAATGCTGTGAATGTTCTGCGATGTTAAGAATCGGCGACAGGCCTACGGCCTAAAAAATCACTAAACTTAAATTAATTCAATGAAGAATGTGTGATATCGAGTGAATAATTGTTACAAAATGCCAATATAATTAATTTTATTTTTTTTACAAATGAAGAAGCGTGATACTAATTTCCCGTGGAGTTATGTTATTCAAAGGTACATGAAAGATGTTGCCATCTGTGAAATCGCTAAGGGTTTCGATGTATTAAAATTTTTTTTTCTACAAAAGATTTGGTAATTGTAATTTATTAGTATATCTTGGGAAAGTAAATGAATAAAAATAATAAACAAAATGGGTTAAATCACATATTCAGCTCAATAATTCAACCCTTCTTATTTCATCATTACTTTATCACTGATATATTTTTGGATAGAGAAAAACCTGATTTGTGGGGGCGACATAAATAGATACAGTTATCAAACTATCAAATCTTTGGATATTGAGTACTTTTTTTATTTGTATGACTAATGCGAAATTCTTCGTAATATCAATTTTGCAAACTGTATAAACACGGAACATCTGACGTTGACATTTGAAGCTCCCGTATCAACCGATTCGACACTTTTACGAACTCGCCTGCACACCAGAACTCAAAACCTTTAACGCTCAGCTCGCCCAGTCATAACTTCTTCAAAACTGAACTGATTTCATTCAAATTTAAAATTTGAAAAGCGAGTTCGAGCGAGTAGCGAAAAGCGTCCGAGTGCGCAGGCGAGTTCGTAAAAGTGTCGAATCGGTCCGCTATTAGCTCCTTTGTCCTTAATAATACACGCAAAGCATGTTTTCTTGGGTTTGAAAGTAAGTTTTTCGAAATACTCGAGTACTTTCAAGTTATTTTGCACTAATTTCATCTTCAAGATTTGCGGATCGATTTCCACCTATTAATATAACACTATTATTTATTTTTATTGCAAGCCATCAAGTGCATAAATTCTTCCGTCATATCTAAAATGAGTTACATGACCTCGAGAAATGTTCGCATGTGAACAACAGGTTTTCGGGACATAATAAAAAGTCAGGTCTACAGGTTCATAATTGAAACCAACTCATTATTGAAATAAAAAATTAAGATTCCTATAAATCGCTTAGCGTTCCAAAAGAGCGCACTGCCGTACAAGATGCGCGTTTCTGACAGCCACTATTATACATGTGCATCGTTGGTCTATAGAACCTGGTTTCTGACTCAAATCATTGTTCGCTCATGTCAACCAACCTCAGCTCATAGTTACTCGATGACTTTGCAGATGATAATCACCAAGCAGGCAGAAGAATAAATCCTGGCTTCAGTAAGAACTGGGAATTGTTCCTGCTTTCCAGCGTTGGTTCTTATTATTAAGTTGTCTGAATTCTCTAAACTAGTCCTTGCTTTGATCCCACAACAAGTCAGCCCTGAATTCTCACACTGCTACGGGATCGTCAACACCCCAACTTATTCTACGTCCCACACATTAGTTACTATTGTCCTTATTCTCCCTCTGTTTCCCACAGTAGACCTGAATATTCAGCCAAGATCCCTACAGCAATTAAGATTCGTGTTAGTCAGTAGGATTCAAGTTTATACTTTGATTTTCGGTCGCATGCAGCGCGGCCTAAAATTACAGCAAACTGTATAGTTAACGAACAGCCATGCAAACATTGCAGAGAGTAGGCTTGGCTCCCTGTAATATCAATTCTTCGTATATATTGTAAAAACTTGAAGCTAATAATAATAGAATGTTTAACAAATAATTATTAAAAAGTGTAGTATAGGTACCTCTTTCGATATGGATGGCGATTCTTTGAGATTAGTGCTGACCTGAGATTTCATGTTAAACTTTTAGGTGTATATTTAATTAAAGATGCTTGAATCTTTCAATGCTCTGCTCGCGAGGATACTGTGAAACATCAGTTTTTTTCAATATGAGCGTACATAATTTATGCAAAAATCACTCGAAATTTATTGAAGACATTTTATTCCTATCCTGTTTTGTTCTAACATAGTTTCACAGCGTCAAATCTGTCCCCGCACAGTATGTACTCGTAATAATTAGAGTAGTTCGAGCGTGAAAGGAAGTGAGCAGAGCAGACACCGAAGTATATTCCGATGTTTTCATCAGTTATACGTGCACTAAAATCCCAGTTAATGGCGAATTGCTTTAATTATAACCTTGCAAGTAAACTGGGGTACTCTAGGCAATATCTGTTGAATCTATCCGCTTATAAATTTGATGATAGTTTGCAAGCAAGTTAAAACAGGATGAAAACTAATGTTTCTGTGTAAATATTTTACTCAATAAGATTAGGACAAAATTTGATCAATGAGCTCTGGATGAAGCAGAGCGGCGTAGATGTTGGTATTGGCAGCACCTCTCCTGGCGATGGAAATGCAGACTTAGGGGGCCTATGGAGTGCGTCCGTTGATTGAGTCTGGGCCAGCGAGAACTCTAGACTTGATACGCTAGCAGATGTTCTTAATTAAAGCGTCTTAATTTTTGACGCTTAGGAGCTACGATCGCCTACACGGGCCGAGTGACAACCATCAGTGCCAGGCATGAAGCGAACGACACAAATGCTTAGAACGACAGTAACGAAGGTTGACAACGAAGTAAGGAAGACGAGGGTGGCTGATCCCCTGTGTGGAAGGCATGCCACCCCCACAACACTGCTGTTTTCCACTGCAGGGGCGGTGCTACCGACACCCAGGGAATGTGGCCACTCCTACCCATCCTCAGGACAGTTCCGTTCACGATTGACACAAAAAACAATATTCTATCCAGATGCGTTGGCACTTCAGTCCCAATTGTTTTATTTTCAGGTGAGAGAGCGAAAGAACTCGAGTGTCACAGCTACATGGGGAAATATCCACTTGGCCTTAATTGCATAGTTCACCAAAACACTTCCGAATGGCGGTACACTTCACATTAACAACTTTCTCAGTCACTTTATTCGTCTTCGCTTCCGGCGGCGAGCATGGCGATCAGAGCATCGCTGTCAATCATTCCGGTATCTTCATCAATTTCGACATTGGCTAAGACATCATCGACTTCCTTTGCGGTGAATTTCTCACCAAAAGCCATCAACATGATGCGGAAATTATCAGGGTCGATTTCGCCGGGCTCCTTCTCGAAGGCACGGAAAGCGTTGATGACAAGTTCGTCATCATCGACTTCACCGCCGGACTTGTTAGCGAACATGGTGAGGAAAGTGGTGAAGTTGATGGGACCGTCGGCCTCACTGAGCATCTCGTCAAGTTCCTCTTCAGAGGCGATACGTCCGATCTCGTCAAACATGGCGCGGAGATCGCTCTTGTTAATCACACCATCGCGATCACGATCCATAATTTGGAATCCATCTTTAAACTCAGCCACCTGCTTCTGAGAGAACATATCGAAGACATTGCTTCCTGACTTCTTCGCCTTCTTGGACGACGAGCGGGATCCCTTGGAAGGCATGGTGGCGACCGTAGCTGTGATGCACTGGCGGACCGCGCTCCACTTCACTCCCTTATATCACTTTTGTGATGTCGCCAAATGTTCACTAAGACCGACCAAAATTAGGCTGGGCCACAATACGGCTGCCCATTGCACGCTAGCCAAAATAACGGATGCCGTCGCGGTCACTCGCGCGCTCGAGCGCAGTTCACGAACCGAGCTTGATCTGGGCAGATGCTACTTAGGGGCCATAAGATCAGATATAACTACTTTATTATAAGTTTTCCCTTCATTTACAAATCAGTTTTAAAACGAGCCAACAAAATTGCACTTACAATTTTGAGCCACAAGATCAGACATAACTACTTTACTATAAGTTTTTCCTTCGTTTACAAATCAGTTTTAAAGCAAACCAACAAAATTGCAAACTTACAATTTTGAGCCACAAGATCAGACATAACTACTTTTTTATAAGTTTTCCAGTCATTTACCAAATCAGTTTTAAAACGAGCCAACAAAACTGCACACTTGCAATTTTGAGCCACAAGATCAGACATAACTACTTTATTATAAGTTTTCCCTTCGTTTACCAATCAGTTTTAAAACGAGCCAACAAAACTGCACACTTACAATTTTGAGCCACAAGATCAGACATAACTACTTTATTATAAGTTTTCCCTTCGTTTACCAATCAGTTTTAAAACAAGCCAACAAAATTGCACACTTACAATTTTGAGCCACAGATCAGATATAAATACTTTATTATAGCTTTCCCCGTCGTTTACAAATCAGTTTCATAACAAGCCCAAAAAATTGCACACTTACAATTTTGACTGCTATTAGCGCCAAGCAAATACACCACATGCTAATAAAAATGAGCAACCCTCAACCGCCAAATGTGTTCACACTCCATTTGTGACGGATTAATCACCTGAATAAAGCTTCCGTGAATCAAACCTCATAGGAATAAAACTGTCAACATATTCAGAGTCAAATGTTCTCACAACAATCATTCACTAGTTCCCTAGAATGGCAATTAAACTAAAATAACGGACGCTCATAAATAACGAACCATGACGTATATATCAGTGGGTTATATGATAAAATAACTAAGACTTCAGCGCTATTTGCAATGAACCGCATGTGAAATACACTAAGACGTAATAAATGCGCGCAGCAGTCTTTATCGTAACAAAATGGTATTGGTTCGACTTCTGTATCATATGGGACTAAAAATGGAACAAGCGCACCTAATCATAGAGGAAATGATTAGCATCGATGATAAGACAAATTGATCGAATACTTTACGGTAATACATTTGTACTATAACAAAAAATTTGTATTTCTTAACATTTTATAGACTGTAGCAATTTTCCAATCAACCAAAAATTTCAAAATTAATAAAAGACGCCTTAGTATTTCCATTAATGCAGTAATACCTAATAGATCCAAACGTTCTTTTCTAATAACTTCAATGAAGGCAATGCCGCAAGTCCAACTGAATCATGAATACAAACTATGAACGGATAATACTATTCTTGGCCCACATATTCAAGGATATTCAATCAATTACAGCACAAATTGAGAAGCGAAACATAAGCGCCCCTGTCTCAGATACAAAGCTATCTTTAAGATCAAATTTGGACACCACATAAAACTCAATACAACCATTTTTTCACATCAAAACATGAAGTAAATAATACTTCAACGTATGACTAATTATAAACAGTAAATATATAACATAATTTTTGAATATATAGGTGCTCCTGCGGCGTGTCGTGTCGGCCAGAGGACGACGCTCATGTTTGGACACCACATAAAACTCAATAAAACCACTTTTTCATAACAAAACATGAAGAAAATAATACTTCAACGTCTCATTAATTATAGACAGTAAATAGCAGAGATATTTTTTTGAATATATAGCGCGTGACGTGTCAGCCGAGAGGGCGACACTCTTGGTCGCTTGCCAAGCTTTCGTCAGAGACGTGATGTGCAGAACACCCTTAACTTGCGCTCTTTATGTGCACAGCATTAATTACATACACGATGCTTTAAGGCAGCTAAAACACATCGAAAAAACATCAAACTTTTTTGAATGCTATACGCAACAATTTGCTAGACTAATTAACATTTAGCATCAACACAACGTAAACAAAAGTTAAGGGAATAGATCGACTTTAGAATAGATATACATACATACTATGAATACACTTTTTACGCTGATTTAGCGCTCGAAGAATTGCTAAAAAGACTGGGATCATAGTTTTTCTAGTTAGAAATGCACACAAAGAACTAGGGAGCAGAAGGCACCTATACTCTTGCATATGTTCACATATAACCTCTGCTGAGGCTGCATTCCGTCATAAAGGGAAATATCAAACACGAATTCTGTGCCTGACAAAATTATACAGCAAATAGAAGAATTTAAAAGCCGTGGATCGTGAGGAAACGAGGGGGATAAATGCTTGAGTCCGACTAAAGAACTTTCAATAAATATTGTGATATAAATTGTCGGATATTGGCGCTAGGCAAGGAAGAGGAGGCAATCTAGTCCATTGAAAGATGTCTCTTTAAATCAACACAGGTAACTTTTAATGAAAATAATATTACATCGACAAATACAACAAGAGGATAAAAGATCTTATCTTACTGACACAAAAAAAAAACTCCAACAAAACGGAGCATCGACGATTGGAATTTTTAAGTATATAATACAGATCAATAAGACATAAAAACTATAAATATTTCGTCAGCAGAATGCTAATATACATATTCTCAATGAATATTTACATACAAATTCGATGTCTAGGGATGAGATATGAACTAGAGATCCGTGCCTATAACTAATAATAAGACTGAGAAGACAAAGTTTAAAGAACCTACACTTACGCAAGGTAAACGCAAGTTTCATCCTGTGGTCCAGACGAACGGTTCGAGGCGGTCAGGTATAGGCAGCAAGTTATTGAGCGTGTCAAGGGTCTCTATGAGAGTGTTAAGGTTAGCGTGGCAGGTCGTGAGAGAATGGCTTAGTTCTGAGACATGACTTAGACGCTCGGCGTGTCGGGCGAAGGCTCGCTGTCTCTCCGTCAGGATGGACATCACCGTCGCCAGGGTTGCGTCCAACTGACCGAGTGATAAAGCTTGACCAAATGAATTACTAAGTAATTACCAAAGGAGCAAATGAATTACTAAATAATTACCAAAGGACCAAATGAATTACTAAATAAATACCAAAGGAGCAAATGAATTACTAAGTAAATCACCGTCGCCAGGGTTGCGTCCACCTGACCGAGAGATGAAGCTTCGTGTACATCGAGTGTCGGAAATGATAAATTACGGAGAGAGTAGCATTCAATTGAATAATTACGAAGAAATTAGCATTGAAATACACAATAATGAAGATATTAGAATTAAAATGTGAGATTATCTTTGAAATGCACGTTGCACATTAAGGAAAATTAGCATTGCAATAGACATGAAGATGGCATTGGAAGAAAGCAAGCATGGACACTACGAAAATTGTATCTTAGTGCGTGATCATGAGATGAGAAGTGAACAAACGCCTTGGCATAAATAGTGTAGAAACACTAGAAACACGGCATGCCATCATCCTACACAATTATTCAGCTGGTCAAGATCAACATGCCATCATCGTAGACACTTATTCAGCTAGCAAGTATCAATACGCCATCATCCTAGACATTATTCAACTGGCCAGTATCAACACGCTAACATCGCAGACATTATTCATCTGGCCAGTATCAACATGCCAACATCGTACACATTATTCATCTTGTCAGTATCAACATACCAGTATCGCAGACATTATTCATCTGGCCAGTATCAACATGACAACATCGTACACATTATTCATCTTGTCAGTATCAACATACCAGTATCGTGGACATTATTCAGCTGGTCAGTATCAACATGCCAACATCGCAGACATTATTCAACTGGCCAGTATCAACACGCTAACATCGTAGACATTATTCAGCTGGCCAAGATCAACATGCCAACATCGTAAATAATTATTCAACAGGGGCCATACTTTGAAAATTCGCTAAGTGAACGTAACTACTTACGTTTTATTTCCTTGTCTGTGATTGGTGGATTTCGCTTGAAAGGCCGTCAATGATTGGCTGATGAACTTACGATCTCTTAACTTTTGAAAGTATTGGTTCTGGCCAGTATCAACATACCATCATCCTAGACAATAGTTCAGCTGATCATTATCAACATGCCTACATCGTAGATATTATTCAGCCACAATAAGGGACAGGACAAGAGACCTGCGTCAAGATCAACATGCCAACATCGTAGACATTATTCAGCTGGCCAGTATCAACATCCCATACATTATTCAGCAACAACATTGGACAGCATAACACACCTGTTTGATGGCTGCGGTGATGTCGTCCTGCTGAGCAGCTGTAGCAGCAGCAGCAGCGTGCAGGTGCGTCTGGTAGCAGCGGGCGAGGGCGCACAGGTGCGCGGGACTGATGCGTTCCAGCACCTCGGGGTCCCGCACCGCTGGCGCCGTGAGCGCGCCGCGCATGATGGGCAGGAATGGCTGGATGCACTGCGTGGCAAAATTAATAATACGATTTGTTCGATATTATGAAATATTTCACGCTTTATACATCATCAGTCGCATGATGATGCTCTAAGAAATAATGCGCTCCAGCACCTCCGGGTCCCGCACCGCTGGTGCCGTGAGCGCACCGCGCATGATGGGCAGGAATGGCTGGATACACTGCGTAGCAAAATTAATAATAAGATTTATTCCATTTTATGAAATATTTCACGCTTTACATTCATCAGTCGCATGATGACTGCAAAATTGACGCTTTAAGAAGTAATTCGCTCTAGCACAAGTAATTCTCTAGCGCGGCGTAAACAATAATACGAGTTATTCTATAATATGAGATGTTTCACGAGAAAATGCGCTCTCTGTTACTCACTGCAGTGAGTACTGAGTTATATTTTATATCAGCTAAAGAATAATACCTAACGAAAATTCAACAAATCTCCATAGGAAGAGAATTTTTGTGCTAGCATGATAGGCAGGAATGGCTGGATGCACTGCGTAGCGTAAACAATAATACGATTTATTCGATATTATAAAATATTTCACGCTTGAAAATGCTTATGTGAAATATTTCACGCTTGAAAATGCGACCAAAACACCAGCATGAGTTTTTTCACGATGCATGTTCGGCATAGAATTACAGGTTTTAAAAAAATTGCTTAATCAACAAATATTCATATCGAAAGCTTGGGCTGGTCAATGATCTTATACCGCCCAGATCACTCGCACAATCAAAATAATTTGGCATATGAGTTTGATCCCCAAACTTTGAATTTAATCCTTCAAATAATCCCCTTTGCATTGCGCCAAATAATCTTTTATCCGACAAACGATTCATACAAAAAAAAAAATAAAAAGAGAAATATAAGCTTAAATTAAAATGAACATCAAAAACCTCATTTGGTCGGAGTTCACAAATTGCACCATAAAATACCTCAAATGATAATTTAACCATCAGTGTATTAACTTAAAAATTCAATTTAATTGGGAAATTCAATGTGTTCTGCCAAGCAGAAGCGGTTTGGGCAATCAACACATTAACAACCTAATTGGGGCATATGCCCGGTAAGGGTTAATTGAAAACAGGTTAGTGAGATCGGCATGCAGTCTGCAAACTCCACGCATGGAGCTGCGTGCTCCTTGCTTGGAGCTGCGAGCTCCACGCATGGAGCTGCAAACTCCAAGCATGGAGCTGCAAACTCCACGCATGGAGCTGCAAACTCCACGCATGGAGCTCCGTGCTCCACGCATGGAGCTGCGTGCTCCCCGCATGGAACTGCAAACTCCACGCATGGAGCTCCGTGCTCCACGCATGGAGCTNGCATGGAGCTGCGTGCTCTACGCATGGAGCTGCGAGCTCCACGCATGGAGCTGCGTGCTCCACGCATGGAGCTGCGAGCTTCACGCATGGAGCTGCGAACTCCAAGCATGGAGCTGCAAACTCCAAGCATGGAGCTGCGTGCTCTACGCATGGAGCTGCGTGCTCTACGCATGGAGCTGCGAGCTCCACGCATGGAGCTGCGAGCTCCACGCATGGAGCTGCGAACTCCAAGCATGGAGCTGCGAACTCCAAGCATGGAGCTGCGAACTCCAAGCATGGAGCTGCAAAATCCACGCATGGAGCTGCGAGCTCCACGCATGGAGCTGCGAGCTCCACGCATGGAGCTGCGAGCTCCACGCATGGAGCTGCGAGCTCCACGCATGGAGCTGCGAACTGTTTTCTTCTAATGGCAGCAGCAAACAATGAGCGCCATATAAAGAGCGTTCAGTGCAGCCATCTGATCATGTTATAAATCATGAACGATAATTGTTTTTCTTCATTTTAGGAAATTATGAACAACAGACAATGTGTGACATTAAAATGCAGTTCCAATGTAAAATGGTGAAAAAATAGTTCTTCATTTCATTAGTTATTGTTTAATAAGCTTGCACCTGGGAACAATTAAATTTACCTTATACATAATAGAAGACATATTTACTTATATGTAATAATGAGTAAATTCGCTTACCTAACATGTGCTCTTCTACCTATAAATTATCTTATTTATTAATATATTCTAGCTAAAATTATATTGTATGTTACAATTATTTATTAAATATATTCTATTAATATGAATTATATTGTATATTACAATTGTATATTAATTATATTGTATTTATATGAATTATATTAAATATTAATATATTCCAGCCAAAAATATATTGTTTCTTACAATTATACATTAATTATATTGTATTAATACAAATATATTGTATTATATGAATTATAATATATATAACAATATTCTAGCTAAAATTATCTTGTATATTACAATTACATATTAATTATATTGTATTATTATGAATTATATTATATATTACAACATTCAAGATAAAATTTAACCTGGAGCCTGGCGAGGTCAGCGTCTTGCTGGGAGTTGGTGGGCGCCTCCCTGACCACCACCACCTCGCTGGGGCGGCCCACCGCCCCGCCGCTCTGTGATGACCGGCGCCCCAGGCGGCGGTGGGAGCCCGTCCGCCGCAGGGCGCCGCCAACGCGACTACTGTGCTTCGGGGAGTCTGAGGGCATGAGGGCATGAGGCACGAGGGCATGAGGGCATGAGGGCATGAGGGCACGAGGGCATGAGGGCACGAGGGCACGAGGGCATGAGGGCATGAGGGCATGAGGGCACGAGGGCACGAGGGCACGAGGGCACGAGGGCATGAGGGCATGAGGGCACGAGGGCACGAGGGCACGTGCTGACGCTACTTAACACACGCACTTCAGGGGAGTCTGAGGGCACGAGGGCACCTGCCTACGTAACTTTGCGTGTCAAGCTACATTCACGTTTCATTAATCAAGCAAGCCAATAAATAATAAGTAACTTATCACTGTTTTAGGAAAAAAAATCCGCCTAATATTCTAAAGGTTGAAACAGTAAAGTAATTTTATTCCAAGCAAATCCCTCGCATTATCCACTAGGAAGTAATCTCTCAGAAAAAGGTTTAATTATGACAAGTAATTAGTTTGCTTATGTAATTAGTTTAGCTGTAAATAAGGCTACTGACCGCCTATAGGACGGTTGACGGTGTAGGAGATATAGGGCAGGTCTGCGTCTGAGCAGATGGAGGGTCGGGGCGAACTGCTCACTGAGCGGTCCACGCTCGGGCCGGACCCTGCAATTGCCAGAGGACCAAATTATTTAATAAGTAACCATATTACCAAAGGACCAAATGAATAACTAAGTAATTGCTAAAGGACCGAATGAATTACTAAGTAATTATCAAAGGACCGAATGAATTACTAAATAATTACTAAAGGACCAAATGAATTACTAAGTAATTACTAAAGGACCCAATGAATTACCAAGTAATTACCAAAGGACCAAATGAATTACCGAGTAATTAACAAAGGACCAAATTAATTACTGAGTATTTACCAAAAGACAAAGTGAATCTCGCTCTATGCCAAATAATTCCGGAGCAGAATGGGCTACGGGAAAACAACTTGATACGACTAGAAGACAAGTCTTAGGAAGTCACTAAGAGGCATTTTAAACAGGGCTTATGCAATGTAAACTACGAAATAAATCAGGAATATAATTTATTTTCCCTAAGTCGATAAACCAAAAGTAGGACCAAAGGACCGACAAAATAAATATTTCTATTGTTAAATAATAATTGATTAAACGATACACAATAGAGTATAAAGGTCGCACTTTTTAGGTCGTGGTGACTTGTCCAGAATCCTTGCACCCTCTCATCTGTACCTGACCTCCCAAATAAAAATATCTTTAATGTTTTCTCGTTGTTTCTCTAACCTCGAACAGCTACTGGTTAGCTGTCAATAAAATGAAGAACCTCATTACGTGTCAAATAGAACACTCGAGCCTTTAAATCAACCTGGCGAAATAAAGTCGGAATACCGATAAATTAACGTAAATATAAAGTACAAAGGCCTTCGAGTTAGGCCTTTATATAAGGCCTCGGTCTTCGTTCGTTTACAAACACAGACCTGCGTGGGCGACAGGCGGGTGAACAGACCTGCGTGGGCGACAGGCGGGTGAACAGACCTGCGTGGGCGACAGGCGAGTGAACAGACCTGCGTGGGCGACAGGCGGGTGAACAGACCTGCGTGGGCGACAGGCGGGTGAACAGACCTGCGTGGGCGACAGGCGGGTGAACAGACCTGCGTGGGCGACAGGCNCAGCACGATATATTAGACTGATCATGTCAATATTATTAGATATACTAGACTCAGCATGATATATTAGACTGATCATGTCAATATTATTAGATATACTAGACTCAGCATGATATATTAGACTGATCGTGTCAATATGAAAATATTTGCAACGCCGCGGCTACTTCGTCGAGGGCGACATAATTTGTTGTCCGAGTTTCATTGGGACTTCTCACAGATCAGTAATAAAAGTTAAAGCATTCCACAATACTGTTTGTAAAAAGACAATACATCGTAAACGCTCGCTATAAGTGATATGGTAAAAAAATCATTAATACATAAAAACCCTGAGACAACATCAAATTCAGTGGTTTAATTATTATATTCCGTTTAATAAATGACGATCAAAGTTATCTTAAATAATGTATATTTTACTGGAGTGGAAAACAAATTAAGTATTGCGTGGGAGGGAAAGGGTTGAGGGGAGCAGTAAGGTCACCACGTGCTAGCCGTCCATTCAAGCCACTTCTTATGACATAACAAATAAGTTGGCTGGCACTGGGTGGTTATTTCCTCCCAGTGTTGGCACCAGGCCATGATAGTATCTGTAGTAACAACCCACCCTTGGCAAGCCACCCAGCCACCCCCATGTGGGTGGTGACGTCACCCAGCCACCCCCATGCGGGTGGTGACGTCACCCAGCCACCCCCATGTGGGTGGTGACGTCATACAAGCACGTGTAGGAGCCCAGCAACTCTATAAGGTCACGAGAGAGCGGGGCGCCAGCGGCAAGGCGTGTATGTATTATTTCGTATTTTCATTGCCTAAATTTAATTTCATTTGTCAATTGGGTTCCTATAAGATCCTCTAGGAACTGTCACGTCAATGCAGCACGACTCCCTGCCCTATAGGAACCTATAAAAATCGAAGGTTCCTACAGAACCCTCGATTTTTTTTTCGTTTCATATATGAAACGCGAAAAAATCGAGGAAACGCTTGTGTTTGTCACATCTTCAATAATGAGTTTTCAAAAACTTTGACGTTGATATACATTATTTTACGCCATATAAATATATGACAATTTGTAATACATAAACACATTATCACGTTTATACCTCGCCGGTTTCAAATATTTGTATACATTTTCAACACACATTGTTCGTCCTCAAGCGCGGAACGTATCAAGATTCTTCACGCACCTATAGTGGCAGCGACTAATTTACATGTGAAAGCGGCTCCACGTTTCTGATGAAGTTGTGTCATGGGTAATAAAACTTAAAAACACTCCGCACCTCATTATGAAATCTGTTGTTTAACATGGAAACAATCAAAGGATAACTCAAATCAACAGTCCCATCGTACAGCCCTCATCAATGTGACTGTTGACATTGAATCAACGGCCCTCGAATCAAGAGCTCCATTGTGCAGCCCTCATTAATGGGACTGTTGACGTTGAATCAACAGCCCTCGAATCAACAGTCCCATTGTACAGCCCTCATCAATGGGACTGTTGACGTTGAATCAACAGGCCTCAAATCAACAGCCCCATAGTACAGCCCTCATCAATGGGACTGTTGACGTTGAATCAACAGGCCTCAAATCAACAGCCTCATTGTAGATACCAATGCAATTCGTCTTGAGTCACAAGCAATACTTACTTCATACGACTTACATAAGATAAATATTATTTTAGTTTCGATAAATTCACTCCTCACAGCGAGCATAAAATAGAAATGTAAGTAATTCGATTATTTTTTAATTAAATTCTTTCAAAAATGAAACAATTACTACTGATTTCTCATTGAATGTGAAGTAGAGGCAGCCTGGAGACAGTGGAGAGCGGTGAGCAGTTGAGGCTGCATCTCCATCAACGACTTGAATAAATTATTATTATTATTATTACTATTATTATTATTATTATTTTTTTTATTATTATCTCCTTCTTTCTCGAAAACAGCTTTGCTAGCTACTCTTCATTAACTAAACATCATGAATTTTTTTAAGTAAAATTCTTAAGTAAAAATTGTTCACTTGAGACGTCGAGAAAATTTTTTGGAGTAACAAGTGAAAACTATGAGTGAATGGCCGTATAACAATACGCGAGCTTCGTACAATTTAATCATAAAACTATTTTAATATTGATTGATATACTTCGTTCGTACTGTTTTGGTCATACATAATATTAAAAATTATTTATAAAATTCCTGGATTACTCTCAACACACTTCTTGTTCAAGTTCAACACATTTGCGTACAGCGTTCAGGTTCAACACATTTATTACAGCGTTTGAGTTCAACACATTTATTACAGCGTTTGAGTTCAACACATTTATTACAGCGATTGAGTTCAACACATTTATTACAGCGTTTGAGTTCGACACATTTATTACAGCGTTTGAGTTCAACACATTTATTACAGCGTTCAAGTTCGACACATTTATTACAGCGTTTGAGTTCAACACATTTATTACAGCGTTTGAGTTCGACACATTTATTACAGCGGCGAATGGCAAGCAATTCATCAGGACCTCCATACACTAGCGTTTTATATAATATATAACATCTAGCAAAATACGGTAGATAATTACATAAATTAGATCCAATATTTGTATATGTATGCAATGGTTGAACTAAGCAGAGATCTATGCAATTTTCGTAGCTCGCATACCTGGATCTGAGAATAGGAAACAATATTGCGAATAATTTCAATTGCCGTCAAACATCCCAAAAAAATTCAATAATACCTTTGAATCTTTGAAATGAAGTGCAATCTTTGAAATAAAGTACTTTGAAATAAAGTACATATAAAAACAGCTTTAAGGCTGGCTGCCGTACAAATGTACCTTGAATAGCAACTGCAGGGATGAATCATAACATCTCTAGCCCCCATATACAAGGCCAGTCCCCCCATCAGGAGTAAAGCATATCTATTGTACAGGGGCAGCCCCAGCAGCAGCAGGAGGAAGACCTGCAGNAACATCTAGCAAAATACGGTAGATAATTACATAAATTAGATCCAATATTTGTATATGTATGCAATGGTTGAACTAAGCAGAGATCTATGCAATTTTCGTAGCTCGCATACCTGGATCTGAGAATAGGAAACAATATTGCGAATAATTTCAATTGCCGTCAAACATCCCAAAAAAATTCAATAATACCTTTGAATCTTTGAAATAAAGTACAATCTTTGAAATAAAGTACTTTGAAATAAAGTACATATAAAAACAGCTTTAAGGCTGGCTGCCGTACAAATGTACCTTGAATAGCAACTGCAGGGATGAATCATAACATCTCCAGCCCCCATACAAGGCCATGTCTGCCCCCCATCAGGAGTAAAGCATATCTATTGTACAGGGGCAGCCCCAGCAGCAGCAGGAGGAAGACCTGCAGCGCCGTGCGTGCCAAATATGCCGAGGTTTTTGTGGCACTCAGTGGCACTGATCACAGCTTTGGCACTCCCTGCCGTTCATACGAAGCTAAATTATAGAAGTTCATCTTTTGTGTGTAGTTTTTTATTCATGATACCAGCAGCATACTTCTTATTACCCACAGCAAAATTCTCATCACCCACAGCACACTTCTATCTCTAGCCATATCCCACAGCACGCCATGGGATGTGGCTAGAGATAATGTTTATAATGCTTATTAGTCATCAGATAAAACACGACAGTTCCTTGAAGATAATGGCTTATTATTAGTTGTAGGTTATGAGATAATACACGACATTTACTCGTAAATAATTGATAATTATTAATTATTAATTGTAAAACTTAATGCCATTTACTGGCAAACAATTACTCGGTATACTTCATCACTCGTACGCCATGATGAGAAGTAATACGGTGCACTTTTTACTGGTACGCGGAGATGAGAGGTAATACGGTGCACTTCTTTACTGGTACGCGGTGATGAGAGGTAATACGGTGCACTTTTTTACTGGTACGCGGTGATGAGAGGTAATACGGTGCATTTCTTTACTGGTACGCGGTGATGAGAGGTAATACGGTGCACTTCTTTACTGGTACGCGGTGATGAGAGGTAATACGGTGCACTTCTTTACTGGTACGCGGTGATGAGAGGTAATACGGTGCACTTCTTTACTGGTACGCGGTGATGAGAGGTAATACGGTGCACTTCTTTACTGGTACGCGGTGATGAGAGGTAATACGGTGCACTTCTTTACTGGTACGCGGTGATGAGAGGTAATACGGTGCACTTCTTTACTGGTACGCGGTGATGAGAGGTAATACGGTGCACTTCTTTACTGGTACGCGGTGATGAGAGGTAATACGGTGCACTTCTTTACTGGTACGCGGTGATGAGAGGTAATACGGTGCACTTCTTTACTGGTACGCGGTGATGAGAGGTAATACGGTGCACTTCTTTACTGGTACGCGGTGATGAGAGGTAATACGGTGCACTTCTTTACTGGTACGCGGTGATGAGAGGTAATACGGTGCACTTCTTTACTGGTACGCGGTGANTTACCCACAGCACACTTCTTATTACCCACAGCACACTTCTTATTACCCACAGCACACTTCTTATTACCTACAGCACACTTCTTATTACCCACAGCACACTTCTTATTACCTACAGCACACTTCTTATCACTCACAGCACACTTCTTATCACCCACAGCACACTTCTCATTACCCACAGCACACTTCTTATCACCCACAGCACACTTCTTATCACCCACAACACACTTCTCATTACCCACAGCACACTTCTCATCACCCACAGCACACTTCTATCTAGCCGTATCCCACAGCACGCCGTGGGATACGGCTAGAGATAATGCTTATAATAGGATTTGGTTTATGAGATGATACACGACAGTTAATCGTAAGTACCGTAATTGCTTATTATTAGTTGTAACACATAATGTTATTTACTATCACACAATTACTCAGTGTACTTAATCACATCAGGGATAATGAGGTGCACTTCATCACTAGTACGTGGTGATGAAAGGTAATACGGTGCACTTCTTTCCTGGTACGCGGTGATGAAAGGTAATACGGTTCACTTTTTACGTCATAGGGGTGATGAGAGGTAATACGGAGCACTTCTTTACTGGTACGCGGTGATGAAAGGTAATACGGAGCACTTCTTTACTGGTACGTGGTGATGAAAGGTAATACGGTGCACTTCTTTACTGGTACGTGGTGATGAAAGGTAATACGGAGCACTTCTTTACTGGTACACGGTGATGAAAGGTAATACGGTTCATTTTTTACGTCATAGGGGTGATGAGAGGTAATACGGAGCACTTCTTTACTGGTACGCGGTGATGAGAGGTAATACGGTTAACTTCTTTACTGGTACGTGGTGATGAAAGGTAATACGGTTCACTTTTTACGTCATCGGGGTGATGAGAGGTAATACGGTGCACTTCTTTACTGGTACGCGGTGATGAAAGGTAATACGGTGCACTTCCTTACTGGTAAGCAGTGATGAGAGGTAATACCTGTCTCTTATACACATCTAGATGTGTATAAGAGACAGGCACACTTCTTATTACCCACAGCACACTTCTTATTACCCACAGCACACTTCTTATTACCCACAGCACACTTCTTATTACCCACAGCACACTTCTTATTACCCACAGCACACTTCTTATTACCCACAGCACACTTCCT